TTACAATATAACTTAATTTATTATTTATAATTCATATTATTTGAATTAACTATAAAAATTAGTAATTTGATTTCACCTAAGTAATTTCATTTTTCACTTTAATTCTATTTAACTATATAATCATTAAAAGGTTTACTTGTTTTGTCAAAAAATAATAATTTTTTTTTGGAATTTTACCATTTATTAGTTAAGCATAAGTAAAAATTTTTAAATTGATACCAATGATTGTATCAAAAATTTTATATCAGTTAATCATACTTAAGTTTTGTTTTTGATTTGTGGAATTAAGTTGTTGTTTTAGAGACAACAACTTAATTTCCAACTTCTCCTTTTTTTTCATTTTTAAATTTAAACTTTTAATTCTCAATGAAAGAGAGACCAACGTGATGCTAAGCTTTTTGAAGAAGTATGGATAAACATACAAAAAAATTCAATAAAATATGTGATAGGCACACGAGCTTTATATACCTGCTTGGAAAGCTTTGACATGTATACTTGCTTGGAATTGAAATTCCACATTTGAGCAGTTTTATCATTCATCTTCAGTTTGATTAGAAAATCATTAACACAATTGTCTTCTAAAAATATTCCTATAAGGTTGTGCACATAACAAAGAAGGATTTAGCCTATGCCTCATACTAAGAAGAGGGAAAAAAAGAGGCTATATGGTTAATCTTATTAATGACTGAACTAAGTGGTCACACACTTAGCAATTTAGACTAGATTAACTAACTATATAGTATAGTGACAACTTAGGTAACCTCCTAAAGAGATGTTTAAAGATTAAATCCAGAACTTCTTAATACAATTAAATTAAAATAAAAGTCCCAAGACTTGATTGATGTTAATTGATTAAAATTAAAATACTAATTAAGCTAATTAAAGCCTAAACACTTAAGTTAATGAGTTTGTGAAAATGAGATCGAATAGGTACTTAGAGTTAGATTAATGCTCAAATCCTAACCATATCTTACAAATTTAATTTATCTCATAAATTAAATTTATGATATCATATCTTATTTGAATTTATCTTATAAACTTAAATTATAGAATCAATATAATATCCTCTCATATTATGTTAGTCATTGAATTTAATCTATCATATAAAACTAAATTTAAAACTAACATAATATAACATAACATAATATAATATATATATATATATATATATCAGATACACACAAATATATATATATAAAATATTATATTTGAAATTTTATATTTCATACACATAAATATTCAAATACATACATACATACATACATACATACATACATATATATAAAATACGTTCACCTTAGATAAAGTATAGCTCGAGTAAGGTTGTTCTTGTGTGTCACCCTATATGCCCATATGAAGTTGGTAGTAGGCCAATAACACTACTAACCTACAAATCACAAGTCATTTTTAGCAAGACATTGTGACTCTTCAATTCATATAGGGATCAATAATTCAATATAACTTATTATATAATCTTATCACATCTCTTTTTTTACGGTATATTTTGGTCAAGTGTGAGATATGAAATTGTCATTCTCATTCACCTAACCATTACTTTCTCAATCTCTGAATAGATTGATTATAGTAATGGAAAAACTTTTCCATTGTAGTATGACCATATATTTTTTTAGTCTTACTCATTGAGAAGCCTAATAATATTTCTCAATTAATGTGAGGGACAAATTTGATCTTGACCAATCATATTCTTCTACATGAATATTACTAAACTCAATCGTAGCCTTTATAATAACCCGATTAAAGGTGACTTTTGACTATATTAAAGTTTAGTGATCATCATATAGAAATTCATAATAATCTCAAATTAAAGAGCTTAATGACATGGTTACATATGACGATTTCATATAATATCAATACCATATATATTTGATATTTTATTGCAAATTTTATAATTTACATGGGTGATAATACCACAATAAAAATATACAATAAACACAAACTCAAACACCAAACAATACTTCTTCTTGTTTTTTTTTAAGTACAATAATAAGTAGATAATAAAGATTCTTTTCTCCAAATACTGATCTGCTAAGTAAGTAGCTAGACAAATACTTCTTTAAAAAAAAGAAAAGAAAAAGAGGGACGCAAACTGGTTATGCAAATTTAGCCAATTTAGGCCCTGGTGGGGGATTAGAGAAGAAGGCATCAAGGAGGGCATTAACTCTAGTGTATTTGTAATCAAGATATAACTGTGAAGCCTTTATATCTTGAGCACTCAATTCAAACATTGTTTGTGCCCCTTTCACGAATATGTTGTGAAGTATAGCCATTGGTATATTGTCTAGAAAATCCAGTGCTGTAGAGCATCCATTGATTTTTGATTAACTAACTTCACTGTCCCAAGTAATCTGTAGAAAACATGATAGCTTAAACATATAATAACTATTATTGTATCTTGCTTTCACACAACTTCACCATTTCTTGCTCAGTTATATGTTCTTGTTTAAAAGCACAATTCGTCCTATTCTCCCATAAATTTATCAACTCCAACTAGGAAATAATGTTCCCTTTAGGTCTAATGATAACCACTCAAATTTGTGTGTGTGTGTGTGTGGTTTTGATTATAACAAGAACGTATCCTTGGCGTCACCAGTGCCATAAAACAAGAATATGTTGGAGTTTGAGGTCATGTGGGTGAAGCAGATGACTAAGAAAGTAGGTTGCAAAAGAGTTGCCGGAGACGTAAGTGTAGGGGATTCCTGCTTCTTCTGTTGCCCTTCTTATCTTCCTCTTGTTTTCAAGAAGGGCCTCGAATGGTGGAAGCCCCTTCACTCTGTCCACTTCATTTTCATATTTTGAGGGAACAAATCTCTGTCACAACATAACATGACATGATAATCATCAATACTTGTGTTTGTGTCTATACATATGTTACAGTTGACAATGTTGTCTGAAAGAATAACTTTGATATTCTCAGCTTGTTTGATGGCCTTGATTTTCTTGAGTTTCTCCAGATGTTGAGGAACAGCAAGTGTGAAAATGACAACATCAACCTGTTGAAAATAAGATATTAGCTTCTCCTTTTGATCTAACTCCCCTTATATTTGAGAAACAATAAATTTTACACACACAGAGACATTATATGATATGAACATGTAATGTAAGAGAAGATTAAGGGGGAGGATTTACTTGAAATAAGGTAAGGCCTGGAGATTGAAGATGGTGGAGCTTGGAGAGGTGAGAGGAAGTGTGAATGGGACGAATATAAGCAAAAGTAGGATGATCTAGGGAAAGGCTTGCCTTCACCATATATTCCCCAAGGTAACTTGTTGCTCCTATTACAAGTATTTTGCTCTTCTCACTATTTCCCATTATTGCCTTCACTGTTTTGATATAAAACGTGATTCTATGATTTCTTAATGCTACAACCAACTCTTTATAAAAGCGACACAAACAAAAAATGTGGTTGAAAATTCTTCAAGTCATTCTTTTAACATGGACCAAGCTCAAATATTTAAGATTGGGGATTTTTAACGGCGCATGTTTGAGCAAGGCCTTTCTAGTCACCACCATAGCTCAACAAGATTAGTAGGTTCCACGTGTATATGAACAAGAATCCATGCATGGGCCACGCGTGGGCCATGCTAAGGATTTGTAGTCTAGATCTTATAGGGAGGTGTCACAAATTGCGGGGCATCAATGGCTTGGGCATTGGTCTTTCCATTTTCCCCCTCTCCATTTCTCCTCCATTTTTTTAAAATTACACCATTTTTCTTATTAAAAAAATACCAAAAAAATAGAAAGCAATAAAAATGAAAGCGTTCTTATCCTATCTGACCTTGCACAGTGTGTATGTATATTAAAAATTATAAAAAATTTAATAATATATTTTATTATTAATTTCATAGTCCATATTTAATATATATGATCCAAATTTAATATTAATTTTTTTATAATTTTTATAAATTAACTATCTAGATATATTCTGAATAGTACAGATTTAATAATAAAATTATAAAAAAAAATTTAATATTAAATTTATGTTACTCATTAAATTTGAATTGTTCATATTGGTAATTAAATTTAATAATTTTTTAATTTTTATAAATTCGACTATTTAAATATAATCTGAACAGTACAAATTTAATATTAAAATTATAAAAGTTTTTAACATTGAATTTAAACTATCCATATTAAATTTGGATTGTTCAAATTGCTGATCAGATTTAATAAAAAAATTTATATTTTTTATTTTAATACATATAAAATTAAAATATTTAATTTGGATTGTGTGCAACGGAGGAGGGTGGGAAGAGAGAAGCCAGGTCCACTGTTTTTATTTTTATTGCTTTCTATTTTTTTAATAAATAAAACAGTATAAGCTTAAGGAAATGGAAAAGAAATGTGAAGAGACGAGATGGAGACACCCATGCTCGGCATCAATATATCATATATAATAAAATAGTTGAAGCCATATCTCAAAAATAGCCGAGGACGACTCCATAGTTATCATAAAAATTCGATCACTTATTGTTGGGCTCCGTGCTTCCAAAATAAAAATTCATCTTCTCTCTTCTTTTAACGTCAAAACTCCCTCCATCTTTTCCAACTTTAAAATAAAAGCTGATAATATTTTCGAGCCCTGTGCACAAAGCGCTATCATTCAGCTCAGACGCTCTGGAGTTGGACTTTCTTTTCTGTAAAAGGGAGGAGAAATTATTATAAATTTAGATCGTTAAATTAAAATTTAAATTTAATAATTTTTAAAAATATAAATTTAATTTGAGCGATTTAAATTTACGGAGAGGCAGTGGGAAAAAAATAAAGGAGAGAAATCACCACGACACCCTTGTGCTCTACTGTTTATTTTACCTCTTCTTTCTCCTTCATTTCTCTAACACGGCATGCCATTTGGATTTAGATAGCAACTAAAAAAGCTCTCCCCTTTTGCCCCCCTCTCTCAGCAGTTGCATGGCTCTTCTTCTTCAAAGATGCAACGAGACCATTTCGGTTGCAATGCGAGTGAGGGAGTGAGTAGAACCAGAAAAGCAGAAATGAGAGAGGGGAAAGAAAGGGCGAAAGAGGTAGAAGGAGTGGTGGGAAATGGGTGCTTGGGCAAAGCTACAAGAAGAAGAATCAGTCTTCGTGCCTTTACCCAACCCACCCATGCCTGTCGTTTCTTCTGCTTCCTCTCTTTCCACTCCCCTCTTCACTCTAACTCTTCTCTTTCCTTCATTTTTTATGATTATGCAGATTATCTTCCAACACGTGTATCAATCTGTCTTCCATTTTTTTTTTGGAATATTTGTTGTTATGACTCTTATCTTGACAGCTACTGCATAGTAGCCCTGAATATACTCATTTTTATGGACAATTTTGTTAGATGAATTTTAGGCTTCTTTAAGTTTTAGAAGATTCGATTTAAAGTGTTGTTCTTTTGTTCCTCACCCTTGTCTTTTTTTAACCAATGCAGAAATCAAAGGGACTAAGAGGTTCCTAGGAGCAGTTTGAGTGCTTACAACCAAAATTATGAACTGAAAATTTTGCATCTCCTACTAAATCTGATGGCAACGTTGCATCTTAGAGGAAGAAGAAAATCAATAAGCCTCCCCTGTTCATGTCAAGGCCCGAAGTATTTGTTGCATTTTATGCTTTCTTACTCTATGTTTGGTACCATGTTAGTTCAAACTTCCCCTGAAAACGGTGGTACTCCAGTGTTGCCGATGGTGATGGTGGCGGGGAAGCAGTGGCAACGATTAAACAGTGAGGGTGATATTGTTGTTGGCCTCATTATTTACTGCAATTGACTTCACACGAGAATGCGGTGGTGGGGAGGCAGCTTGATCGATGTTAGAGAGGAACTAGTGATGCTTTCTTACTTTTGTTTGAATTTCCTTAATTATTCTTTTGTCTATCCTTTGATGATATTGTTGAACATGTCAGAATGGGGCTGAGTATAAACTTGCATGTGGGCCAAAAGCATTCGTTGCTGTATCAAATCCTATAGTTGTAAGACATATTCTGTGAGAAAAATGCATTTGTTTTATGGCAAGGTACCATCTTAGATCTGTTTGCCCCTTTTTTATAAATACGTTGAGTTTCTTTTAGCTCTTGGAAATACATTGGTAGCCTCAAGACAATATATGAGGTCAAGTGATTTACAACCTTTTAGTGATCCATTTTTTATTTCACTGTTTCGAACAATTAAGTAATGTGTAATGTGGCTCAAGTTCATAGGGGATAAATTTGTGGCTATTGGAGATGATTAAAGACAACTAAAGACAGTGAAAGTGGTGCTACGCTCTTTGATCTCTCAATGAAGTATTGTTTATACAAGAAATTGTATAGGTCACTTCAGTGAGAGAGAAGAAAATTTCATTTCAATTGATAGAGAAACAGAGGTGGGGCTTCTGGTGCATTTCATTGAAAATATTTTCTTATATATTGCTTTAGTTTTGATGTATAGCTTTGCCGGCATTTTGTGGGAATAATTTCAACTGGATGCGATCTTCTTTCCTAACGTTGAAACTCTTGTGAATATTGTATTTCATGTTACCTGAATCCATTAATCTTGGAGAGCATGTTAGAATTTATCTCTAAAACAGTTTGATTGTGATGAATTGACGTCACGGGCAAGAGAAAATTTTTATTCTTTAATTCACTACATGATTGCACCTTCTGTAAAAGTTTATGAAACCAAACTGTTATTTAGTTATTATGTTCCATGTCTGCATATAGTAATGATTACGTAGCAGGCTTTGGTATTTTCAGTTTATGTCAAAATACATTTTAAGTTCCAATTTGTGCCGTTATAATGAAAGCATATTCTTTAGTTTACGTAGCTATATTATAGTTCCTTACTTTGTTTTCTTTATCAAACTCTTTTAGTGAATGTTTTGTTGCTGTATTTGTTCCAAAAAAAGTTCTTGTAATTGACTTCAAAATTTTACTTGCTGCTTCTTTTCATTTTTCATATCTTTGTACTGAAGAACAAAAAAGTATATTCAATATGCCTTCTTTATGCTCTTGTGCTTTGTGTGACATGTAACAATTATTTATTTATTTGGTGTGCTCTGTTCTCCTTTTTTATATTGTCCATTTTTATTTCCCATCCTTCTATAATCTTAAATGTTTTTCATACTGTGCTACCTTGTATAGATGATGTCATTTCTTCTTGTCAATTTTCTGTTTGAAGTGATTAAAATCTGGAGATGCTTTCAATTGCACCTATACATGGTAACCAAATATGATTGATGCATATCTGCTATAAAATTTGATATCATCTGGTGCTTCAATGGTCTATCACAATATTGTTAATTATTATATATTGATTTTTACATTTTATGCAACGTGCAGGGACTCAAATATCGGACTGTTTTTCTTAACAGCAACAATTTTGAGGAAACTTCTTTCTTTCAAACCTTAGAATGTACTCTTCGCATCTATTGCCTCTCTTTTATGAAAGTTTTATCTGGTAACTGCTTCTTTTCTCATTCTCTTATCTGTTTGGTTTCTTTCTTAGTCTCATATGACTCCTCTTTTTTTTTTTTTTTTTAATTTTTCCTCTCTTTAATTCTGTGTCTCAGCTTTTGATTGAAAATTAGGGTACCTCAACATTAACTGAAGTGGGATTGCTAAAGAATAGGAAATTAGTGTGCAGAAAGCGTTATTTTGCATGGTAATTAAATTAAGGATGGAATGATGAAGTCTTATTTTAACGCATATCAAGGAAGATCAATTGATGGTTCAACTAATTTTTTTAGCCTATCGTAGTGCCACGTCAGCCCCCAGGGGTCCCCAAAAGAGTCACCAAAAGCCCTCAAATTGTGATATACTTACTAAATAAGTTGTCAAATATCATTATTAAATCAGTGAATGCTGCTTAGCTTTGCTGTCTTTTGTATTCCAATGGACTTCAGAGTTCAAATGCGTTAACAATAATGACTTTTTGCAATCTGAATAATGCTTGACATCTATGGCTTTTATAGCTTATTTTTCAATTGCAATTTTCATTATTGAAGCTGATCTTACATCCATATTCCATACTCATTTATATTCATTTTCAATTTTCATTATTGAAGCTCTTGATCCCTAAAGAAGAAAGTAAGGAAGCAGATGAAAACTCAAAAAAGAGTATTAGCACTTTTGTTGTTGGGGTATGTTGTTCTCGCTCTCTCTATCTGTGTGTGTGTGTGTGTGTGTGTGTGTCTTTGCTCAACCTTATCATTGATGTCACCCATACATGAAATTTTTTGGGTAGAAGCAGAATAATGAATGAATTATCCTTTTGCAATGGTGACATGAAAGTGTGTTATATTTAAAATTGCAATACTGAGCAATTTCAGCATTTTTAATCCCTCACAAAGTAAAAACTATCATGCAAAGGTAGGCCTCAGGTTTTGTTATACTATCGTTGGATACAGTTAAATTTAGCTATTAGAAAACATTAGATCCTGCACAGGCCTTCCATTTACTCAGTGAATTGTTTCAGTATTAGGGCTTGATTTTATTTATATATATATATATGTATTCCATTTGATAATTGTTTATCTTTTCTTAACTGTCTACATATTCCTTATTAGATGTTTTCCATTTTTACTGTGCAGAAGAACTTGAGAGACCTAGTATGTTAACATTCTAGGATTAAAATGACCTAAAGGCCTCATTTTTGGCACCCTGCGCTAAAGATTTTGAGTTTCCTGTCCTCCTTCAGTGTCTATCATCTTCTTGGAACTTAGATGTGGTTTATTTGTTTTCTTTCTAATCAATATTCTTTTGCATATTGCAATAACCCATGTTCTTTTGGTACAATAGATAGCAGAATGCATTGAACAGAATGTGTTCAAAAATCTGTTACATGTTTTGGTTCTATGAAAGTTATCAAACCCATAATAAAAATAATTTATTATCCATTTATCATATTTTACAATATAAAGAGAGATTTTGAATGGCACAATGGGGATGAAAAGAAAAAAAAACAGTGATAATGGATGCTCTGTGCTCATGTTCCTCTTATTTCTTTTTTATTACCGCAAGTAAATGGTGTTTTACAATACGGATCATTTTTTATTTGGATATGGATTTCCAGAATTTGATTCCTTGTACTCAATTACTCACAAATATCGGTTTTATGGCTTCATGTTACTTTCTGTTATCCTTACTTGATCTATTCATTCCAGGATTTATGCATATAGATTGACTAGCTATGTATATGCTGCAAGGGTCTTCTGGAACCCACCTTTTATGAGATCCTTTCTACAAGGAGGGCTCTTCTTCAGCTTACCAAGAGGCATTAATATGAGACCAGTAGCTTGAAGTGCCTTGCTTTTGTAGTTTTAGGTCCTTTTGTTTGTGTTAAATTATGGAATTAAGTTTATGTAGGAAGTTTTCTGTATTTTCTTTTCTGGGGCTATGTAGGGCAAAATCACCTATTGTCCCCAATGGATATAAGCATTTGGCTCTTTGGCCTTTTGAATAATCATGTATTAGGTTGTAAAGTTAAGACATAGCAATTCAATATTATTGTCTTAACAAGTCTATTGATGGAGAAAAATTAAGAGAAAAATAAAAGGATTACAAAATTGAAGATCCAAGTGGTTCATTGAGCTTCCATCCTCCTTCAAGCACCAAAAATAATTTAGCCTTTAAAGTTCTTGAAGTCTTCCATGAAAAGCTCAAGTTGGCCAAACCCTTCTATGGAACTAAGTAGAGAATAAAGTATGACATAGATGATCAAGTGGTAGGGACGTGTAAAGGAGAGTGAGGGGAGAAGAGTGTAAGTGATTTCATGATGATCTAATGATTAGATGAAGAGAAATGGAGGAGAGAAGGGGGCTATCATGGCTGGAAAAATGAGAGAAAATAAAGAACAAGAATGTAAAATGAAAATGAAAAAGGTGGTAAGAGATTGTGTGTTGGCTAGGGTTATTTCCTTGGGTGAAATGGAGCTGATGTGTGCATGCATCTCCAGCTGCAAATGAGGGGGAAAAAATAAAATAAAAAGGAAAAGAAAAGGTTAGGGTGAGACACATTTTTTTCACATGTTCAAATAAGTGGCTTCCTTTCATTGACTCAAAAGGAATATCCTAAGTAAGAATATTCTCTCTTATTTTATCGAATGATCTGATTATTCTCTCCCTTTTCAGCTCATAAATGATGTCACATTTGCCCTTTTTAGCCCTCTTCCATGATTTTTGACCAATTGCAAAATGTCCGAGTCAACATGTTCTACTTAAGTGACAAAATATATATAAAATAAAAATTAAATATTCATGTGACCTAATAAATAAATCCTTGCACATGGAATTAATTAACTAGTAGGGGAGAATATTAATAAAGTAAAATTCAAGGGTAATGACATGTGAAAGCTTATGCAAGCACATAAAATCCTAATTCAGTTAATAAAGTTAACAATTTTAAAATGTGATTTTTATTTTATAACTCCCGTATCAAAATGAATTTTGAAAAACTTATTTCATATTCATTTTTTTGGGCATAAAATACATGGAATACAATGTTAATCTAATTTTTCATAAAAAGTAAAATTTTAAACCAAGATGCCCTTGGTGTATAATTTTGCCTCTTAGGTAATTTTCTTACTTTACACACCATGAATGCACCAAAATGGAGAATAAAAAATTTAAAATGGGTTATAAATAAATGGATAAAGTGTGTAAAATATGAGTTTTATCAGTCATTGAAATTACATAATGAAAAATAATAAAAATGAGATAGAACATGGGTAGATTTTATAGTGAGGAATTGCTATAATATACCATGATAATGACTATCATATTTCAAATAGATTGAATAGAAGACAAATTGGCATTCTTACTTTTCAAGCCTTAAAATCTTTAAGAAAGATCGATGAAGGAAGGGTGAATACTTGCAAAATTGGAAAAATTTATAAAATTAATTAATTAATTAAGACAAGATGATATTAGGTAAAAGGAGTCATGACTTTCTTCCATTAAGAAGGATAGTTCCAAAGTAACACACAATTATTGTTCCACTGAGTCTCCTAAGTGGTAGAATAAATACAACATCAACTATAGTGAATGGAATAAAAATCATATGAAAATAAGTTTTCAAACAAATTCCATACATGTGTGTCTAAGCAATCAAATACAAGCCAAAAACAAAAGGAAGGAAAAAGAGGTGCTCAAAAATTTGTTATAGACATATTACAACTAAATAAAATTAAAAAAATCAAATAATGTTTATGAAAAATAGAGAGAAGTTTAGGTTAACTTTGAGAGAAATGAATGAGGCTAAGAATAGAATGGAGATTAAGTTTGAGAAGGAGATGAACTGAGAGTGAGATTGATGAAAAATCTCACCAAGAGAGATGAGACGCTGCTTATGGCTTGTAGCTTATGAATTTCTAAGCTTGACTTTTGTGGCAGTTGACAGCATCATTTTTTATGTCGGACGAGGATGAAATTGAGAAAGCCTATGTGCACTTCCAAATTTAAAATGTAATGGAGGGAGAAGTAAATGTCATGATATATGGAAGTTATGTTATGATAAAAGTTGTGGGGATAAAAAATTATTTTATGATTAATAATTAGATTGTGGATTCACATAAACAGTTAATAAAATATATTTTAGGAAAGTTGTCGGTATTCAATTTTAAAATTTTAAATTAATTTGAAATATCATAACTTTTAAATAATTCATATATGCTTGTGATAATTTTTTTTAAAAAATATTTACATTGAAAAGATTAAATTAGTGGAGAAATTCTGGGAAGCAGATTGAGATAGTTAAGGGATTGAATGCATTTTATTAGTTTTTAAGTTGAGGGAAGTTAAGTTTTATTAAATTTTAAGTTGAGGGAAGTTATCATATGATAATAGATGAGATTATGGGAGAGAAAATTCAAGAATAAATTGATAAAAAATAAAGTAAGGGATAAGTGGAAAGATAGCTTTAGATATTATATTTAAAAAAATATTAATATAATAATAGAGAAAATAAGGAATAAGAGGAAGTTATCTTAATATTTTTAAATATCATATTTATTATTTTTAAAAACTATTTTAGAAATCAGTATAGTAATGGATGGGATTATGAGAGAGAAAATTCAAAAATAAATTTAAAAAGGAGTTAGGATAATAAGAGAGAAAAATAAAGGATAAGAGGGAGTTATTAGGAATTAAAAATGAACTTTAAAGTTAAACGGCATCCGTTGTAGAAGGTTGCACTGCAGAATGCTTTGCAATTTTGCACGCACCAACACATGTGATAAATATATATTCTCTTCATTTAAAAATATAAAATATATTTTAAAAGTTGAATATTAAAAAATATAAAATATTTTTAATATCTTAAAATGTAATTATTTTTGTTTAAAAAGTGCCCCTAACAAATAATTTACTTTATATTTATTTTAAAATAAAATAATATATTAAATAAGGATAAATATAAAAATATTATATTAATTATTTAAAGATAAGTAATTAAGTTATTGAAAATGAGATTCAGTTAAAATATTTTATATATTTTAATTGAGAGAATAAATATATAAATATATAAGTACTCTTACAAGTATCTCAGTTAATTTAAGACCCTCGGGCAAGCATTTACTTTAGTCTAATCGCATTTGTTTTTTAATTATCATTCATGGCCAAAGATATTAATTATATATCATTATATATATTTTTTATTAATTCTCTCTCACTTAAAAGAAATCTTAGATTCGTATTTAACATTAACATGTCTGTCTATGTGTATATTTTCATTTTCAATAAAGAAGGGCTGGGTTAAAAGTAATTTTTTCAAAATATATTTTAATTAATATTATTATTTAAATTTTTATAAGTTCTAAATTTCTTTTAAAATCCATGCATGACATGCGAATTCTATCTAGTTTTATATATACCCGACGGGTTCATTTGAAAAATCAACAACCCACTTTTGGGAAGCACTTTCCAACTTTTTCTATCTTAAAAATTGTTTGAATGGACTTTTTGATGTAAAAGAACTTTCTTGAGACTACAGTCAAATAAACTTAAAGTGAATTTAACCAACTCAAACATTTGGAGCTTTTGAGATGAATATTTGGAATGCAAGGCAAAATCAATGGTAACATGTCACATAATTCTTGACTGCTAGGCACTTGAAGACAAACACATACTGTTTTAAGCTTCTCTCTTTCATGAAAAATGCAACAATATCTTTCACAAAAATATAATAATGTAATAAATATTAATAAAATACAACTTGAATTGTTAATCGCATTGAAAAAAATTAAATGATCTTAGAAAACAATAAAATACGAAACCTAAAATAAATCAAATATTATGAGTTTAAATATTAAAACTATTGATAAGTAAAATTAACTAAATCTATTTCGCACAAAAAAAATAATTAGATGCTGGTATTTTTTTTTATGGTTTGTCTATACTTTTTATTTAAACAATTATGTTAAACCACTAATATTCTGTCATATATATTAAATTTAAAAATTTACATAAATGAATAACTGTTAAAATTTTTAGAAATTAAATTTAAGAAATATTATTAAATCTAAAAGATTAATATTCTTTAATATATCAAATTATTATTATATTATTTAGCATACCAAATTTTATGCTATTTAAAATTTTTATCACATTTTTTAAACATGTCTAATATTATTACATTTGCAAAACAAAAATTATATATCATTATAAATCAATATCCATTTTGTAATTATACATTTTAAGGGACATTTCACTATATATAACTTAAATAATTTTCAGTTTATCAAACTAATTTTTAAAAAAATATATTTCAATACAAATTTCATTATAAAGTGATTTTTACTAAATTAATTTTCGTCTAATGAATTTTTGGCAAAGTAACTTTTAGCTAACGAAAAAGCAAACACGCACTGCAATTCTTAAAGGCTTTAATTTTACTTTTGTTTCATAAGAAATGAGGAATTTGACTATATTTCTTGTAGATAATACGAAAGATGTTTGTAAAAGAAATTAGAGCCTTGAACAAGCAAATATTACTGCTAAAAGCAAGTTAAAAAGAGTTACTTAATGAACTCTTTAAAATGTATTCATCCCTATTAGTTAATACAAGAGCACTTCAATCATGTATCTTCAATGAGCTATATCAATCAAAAGATGATTTTGAGAAGTTGTAGATCCATATCAATCAAAAGGTAATTTTGAGAAGTTATGGAAAGAAATTAATATTTAATTAATTTTAACTAGTTATTTTAAGAATAAATGGGTAAAAATATCCATAAAGTGATCAGCCAGAGGCATCTAGTATTTTAAAGTAAAGAAAAGGACAAAAATATCCATAACTTTATATGAGTGGGTGCAAAAGTTACTAGACTGTTAATTTTAACCTAAGGTCATTAATTTTGATTGTTAAATGCTGATTGTGCATGTCACGTGTCAGCCTTTGCTGACGTGAATTAATAAAAGGACAAAAATACTTATGAAATAAGTGGCTAGAAGTAAAAATACTCATAATATTATCAGAGTTGGTGCAAAAGTGACTAATCTATTGAGTCCCTTAAATATTAACTGATTAGCTGATGCCTTAGTAGAAGTTGACCATTTTTTTTTATTGAAACAGACAAAAAATATTTTCAAATGAAATTCTCTAAAGGTTAATCGATTATTGTATGAACATCATGTGCTAAAATTTCATTTTGACAATCAAATTAAATTGTTTGTTTCTTTACAATAGTGATGAAAACCATTTAAAAATTTTAAACCCATCATGAATGAAATCATTTAAGGTTGTGACAATGTTTTTAAGGTAGGGCAGCATAGGAAGTGTGTTCAGTCTTGATCTTCGATTGTGTACAATCTCTTTCACTATGTTAAATATTAGGTTTTGCAGACAAAAAAAATGAGTGGAGAGGGAGGAAGGAAGAGGGCAAGATACATGATGATGGAAAGAAATCATGTGTCATGAATTTTGACAGATTGGTCACTAATTAGGGGTACTCATATGATGATCGATTAACATTTGTAAAAATTCATCTAAAAATATGTTCGGTCTATATCAGTAAAAAGATAATCAATTTTTGGTCTATATCGATCAACATTTAAGGAATTTGATGGATTGATCACTTTTATACCAACTCTAGTAATTTTATGGGTATTTTTGCTCATGGTCAACAACTTTGTAGGTATTTTTATCCCTTTATTAGTCGACAATAACAAATGTTAACACGTGGCATGCATAGTCAGTATTTAATAGTTAAAGTTAATAATGTTAAGTCAAAGTTAACAGTTTAATTACTTTTACACCCACTCATGTAATATTATGGATACTAGGTGTCTCTGGTTGATCACTTTATGTATATATTTGTCCTTGTACCCTTATTTTAATATAGAAAAGCAGTTAAAATGAGACCTTATATAATTGAAAGGGATTATTAGACAAGCTATAATAATCTCTCGGCCCTTCAACCCTATTGAGTTAATCACATATACTTATTTTTTCAGATTTCAATTAACTTTTTAAATTGTTCTAATAACTTATTTTCATTTAGGTACAATGATAATCTCATCTACAGTCAAACCTCAAACCTCAAACTTATATCCTTTTTTCTTTTTGATTTTATTTTTGGAGATTAATCTATTAAAGGTTTGATTTTTAACCGCAAATTTGATAAGCAAATAAATGCGTCATTCTACTTCTCAACCAGACAATAACTTAGACATTATGATCCTCAATCATTTGCCAACAGAATGTAGAAAACCATGTGTGTTTTGACATGAGTTATCAAGTATAGAATGAGTTACGTTTCCATTTGATTTTCCATTTTTTGAAAAAGAAAAGTATACATGAGTTAGATTTTAAGGCTCATCAAAATTAGATTGGGAATCAAAATTTAAAGAATTTCATAAACATATTTACAAATTATTTACCAATAAAACTTTTATTTATGAGGCACAAACTATATCTATACCAACTTGAATTTGACTTCTAATTCTCCCTCCAATTCTCATTCTAGAATCATTTTAACTAATTTACTAGAATTAAGAGAATTAATTAAATTAATTATTTGTAATTAACCTGTCAAATACTTTGAAGGCAAGTCCAACCGATTACAAATTCTCAACCTCAATTTTCTTTGCATAGACTATAATAATCCCTCACTTTTATAAAACCTGTGTAAAACCTCAAATTCACAAATTTTAGAAAAAGAATTTAGCGCTCAAACATAATAAATTTAATAACAAGAGTAACAAGTCAATCACCAAGAGATGTTTCGGTTAACCAGTTGAATAAGCTTATCTTGACATTTTTGAGATACTCTCAAAATAAAAAAAAAAAATAAAAACATTACACAGAATAGGGGTTTATATTAGTTTGGATTAGGATACCAGATGATAGAACAAAAAAATTAATAAGTAAGTCATGACAATTTTTAGGGGAGATGACAAATAAATCTTTTCAAAATAGGCAAATAAGAAAATGGTACCAGAAAATGGGATAATTACTCCAAAATCTTATGAACTTATTTGTCACAATCTTTTTGCTAAATTACGTTTCTGATCCTCTATAAAATAATCATTAATTTGAAGTCATTTAATAGGCATACTTGTCATTCCATAACTAAACTAGTAACCATGCTTTATATATGAACAACCTTACATTTATTGTTAACAAATTTGGCTTAGATATTAACAAATAACAACTATGCTCTTTTTTTTTTTTTTTTGCTTATGGTCGAGATTCAGGAATACTTCCTCCATTTAAAAATGTAAGGTATTTTTAACCAATCAAGTTTCATTTCTAATAAAATAGTTATATACTTTTAAACTAACTTTATCTTTTTATATTTATTCTTATTAAACACCCTACAATAAATATAAAGTTATTTATCAATAAGGATATTTTTTTTAAAAAGGTAATGATTATATCTTCAAAGATAAAAAATACCTTATATATTTTAATATTTAACTCCTTAAAAAATGCCTTACATTTTTGAATGAAGAGAGTATAATTTAGTTAAAAAGTTTACGTTAAATAATTTTTGAGAAACTTCAAAATAATACTCATATTTTATAATTTTTATTTATCATTTTCTTATTTCAATGAAATTTATTTATCATTCTCTGTTTTTTTTTAATTTAGAAAAGGACCTTAGTCCTACCTCCCTCGTATTGAATATTAAATACTAATTTTAAGAGAAAAAATGAATATTAAGAATATCTTAAAGTCATTAATTATAATTAAAGATCTTAAATTATTAAAATTTTGAGAATGGACTATAATTTTTACTTAAAATTTAAAAATTTTTAAATAATTTAAAATGCCCCTCAAAAATAATTTTAATAAATTTTTAATAATTATTATATATTCATAAGTACTCTTGAAAAGTTTTAAAAATAAATAATAATTTTATATTAAAAAACAATATATTCTCAATGATTATATCTTGGTTTCTCATTTAAAATTAGTAATATTTTTATCTCATAACAGTAATTTTAATAATATTATTTTTTATTTTTCAAATGATTTATTTACATATTGTTAAATATAAAAATTTATAAGTGATTAAATTTATATTTAAAAATAATTTTAATAAATTTTTAATTAACTATTATGCATTCATAAATTTTCTTAGAAAGCTTTAAAAGTAAATTTTAATTTTATATTAAAAATAATTCATTTTTAATTATTATTTTTTAGTTTTTTTAACGAAGATTAATATTAGTGATTTTAGTAATATCATTTTTTTATTTTTTAAATAAAGGATAATTTTATAAATTTATATATGCATTTAATTTCCTAATTATCATTTTCGCATTTTAAAATTCGCGGTTCCTAACAAAAATGGTGAAATAACTTCCTCTTGTGGTCCTTGGATAAAACTTTCCATAGAATCATCCTGGAATCATCTTGAAGTTACCACTGCGGATCGAATCGAACCCGGATCCGACTACGGCGACTTAGACCTTTCTAGTTGGCTCAAGCTCCGCTGAAACCAACGATCAAAGCAGCCAGTGCCACTATTTCCAACCGCTAGATCTCTTTGACTCGCGACACTCGTCTTCTGCTTATCCCAGCAATGTACGCCCGAAGTTCCTTTTTTAATTCCATTACTTTCAATGAAATCTAAGTTCGTCTTTGGTTATTTTTTTCGGCAGCATGTTCGTCTTTAATTTGAATGCGGTTCTTCTTCTAACTCTGTTTTGCAAATCTAGGGTTTGGGAATTTGCCGTAATTTGATTGTTTTAGTGGTTATGCCTGTATAAAACCCATATAATTTTTTTCAATAAAAGCCTCGGAATTTAAGTCTCATTTGATTCCTCCGGAAATAGAGCTGTAATATGAGTTCTCTGTAGTTTGACCCAGTTTTCTTTTGTAGTAAAATCAATTATGGGTTGATGTTTATTGCAGTTGTTATATGTTAGGTTTCCTGACTTAGTTGGACTTAGCTTCTCTCAGCATTGAATTTAGCTGCTCACGGCATTCTTCATATTCAATATTGGAGCTTGATGTGTTGTAGCTTCTTAATGATAACCCCTTGAAAAATGGATTTTTCTAAGGCTAGAAATGATAGTAGAGGAAGCTTGTTAAGTGTCTTCTTGTTGCTGATGCCTGATGCAATTTATCCATTTACAATATGTTCTGCGGTGCTCTGGACTACATCTTTAGAAGGAAAAAAGATGTTGTTTTCCTGGTGTTTGAGTCTGGGTTTGTAGTTTAGTACACGTACATTCAGGAGACTTGGACTCATTCGATGTTTTCATATCTTTTCTTGTATTAGTTCAATATATCTGTTTCCTCATGCTTGGTTGCATGAGTGTTATGTATACCTTGTTCTTCATATGCATGCTCACCTACTTTGTTTTGGAAATTGATCCTTTATTCTCTGTAATATTTTTTGGTGTGTGGAAGGCACCTCGTTGGATTCACATTTCGTTGCATTTTATGTTACTTTTAGAAAAGGCATAATACTATCCTTAAAATACACACACAGCTAACTACTATAGTTTACTAAGATGTTTGAATATGTTTGAACTCATTTTTGGGCCCTATATCTGTACCTATTCTCTTTAGGTTTGTTGAGTACTCTAGGTCTTGAGAGTGATATGAATTCCTTTTGAATGTAATTGGCACAACTGGACTTATGTAGCGTGTTGAAAGCAAGATAATTTAGAGGTTCTGATGTTTTAAATATCTACATTCTACAGTAATTATTTGGAGCCATGGCATTCCAATAACTAGGTTTTTTTTGGTAGGATCATACAGCAGGAGCTTTTTTTTTTTTAAAATAAAAGTAAAGTTGTCAAATATAGAAAATAAGTGATAATTAAAGTTGTCGAATCCTTTTTAAACCTTAGGGGTGGGGGAGTGCAAAGTGAGAAGGTGGCCACTCACGGTTGCAAACTAGCTTTGGATAAATTTTGTAATGTATTGGTGTTCATTGAAAATCCAATGTCATACTCCATGCGGCTCAAAATATAAGCAGCTTTCAACAATAATCTTCATATCAATAAAATCCTTATTTTCATGAAAATATATATTGTTCTCCCTTTTTACCCTCAATCCCTATTACCAAGAATGAGTGATAAGAGGGAAGAAATTTACAAAAGAATTCAGGTTAATAAATACAATGGGTAAAATATGAAAAAAAATTCTACAACTATTAAGTCATTTATATTTTGGACCAAGATTAGCTAAAAGAAAAAGCTTATATTTTCAACTGGAGGGAGTATTATATTTAAGGGTTGCAGATTGTCTATGAAGTATTCCTCTCCGTGAAAATCATTGCATATTTAGGAATATATATATTTGCTTCTTTGTATTTTGTAACTTCTGTATCATTTGCTTCTTTTAAATTCTGTTGCTTTTGTTTATTTTGACTCAGGTCATTGCTCTACTATTTAGTTTTCAATGTTGTTATTTCATCTGTGTTTTATTGTGAATACAGGGCTGATGAAGAACCTGTTGATCAGAAGGGATATCTCGAAGAGTCTTGCAAACCCAAGTGTGTGAAACCATTACTTGAATATCAGGTGTGCATTTTTGAAAATTTTCTTTTTGAAGTTTGGGATTGAAAACCATATCATTTCATTGATACATCAGCTTTTGTCTCAAAGACATAAACTATGTGATTGATAGAATTGACATTCTTATGTCCTTTAGTAGAGCCTGGAAAATGGGCTGAGGCCGCTTAAGCCTGAAAATAGCAATGGCGGAGTTGCTAATTTAGGGGGTAAAATGGTGAGGCTTAAAAGGGACTGCCCTAATGGGCCTAGCAATAAAAAAGAGCCGGCTTTTTTAAGCCCTATTATTATTATTTTTGTTTAAATTTCAGTTAAAAAATACAAAGCAAAAAAAAAAAAACATCTGAAGACTGAAACTCTAAATAAACTTAAGATTTAGCTACTCACGAAATGAAGTCAGGCACACTCGAACTTGAAGTCACGGCAGCAAAAGCAGAGCAGAACACTCCCTTTGGTCCGGCCTCCACGGACACCCTTGAGTCTTGACTCTCGAGCTTGAACATGAACAGAATCACTGCCATTAGCTTGGCTTGCCAACCTCCTGTGATGCCACAGTCCCAGTCCCAATCTTTATTGATGTTGATTTTGATAATGTTGCTATTTGCTATGATGTTGGATTTGGATGTTTAAGCTTTATGGATTTGTTGCGGTGTTGATTAACTTAAATTTATTTTTCTAGACTTAATCTTATTTTTAAGAGTTTTTATTTTTTTGGATTATAAATATGTTTGTTACGATTTTAAATTGAAAAAGGAAAAAAAAAAAAAATTGGCCCCAATGGCCGAGGCTGGGTTTCCAAAAAAGGAACCCTAAAGTATATTTGGACATAATAGGACCATTTAGGGCATAGCCCTTCAAGGGCGAGCCTTAATTCCCAACTTTATCTCTGAGCGGGTATCATAGTTGACTTATTTGTTGAATAGATACCCTGAGTGACAGTTTTGTTGAGCAATCAGTTGGGATGAAAGAAGTGATGTTGTGTATTTTCCATCTCCCAAATTTTTGTTTCTGAGAATGCAATCTTTGATAGCAGATAAGGTTACATCCTTCAACGTTTTGCAGGCATGTGTTAAAAGGATCCAAGGCGATGAATCTGGGCACAAACACTGCACAGGACAATATTTTGATTATTGGTCATGCATTGACAAATGTGTAAGTATAGCTTTATAGCATATTAAAACAATGTTAGAGTCACATTCTAGCTTTAAATTCCACACTAAATCATAATCTTGCAATGCAGGTTGCGCCGAAGCTATTCTCCAAACTCAAGTAATGTCAGATGACGATGGTAGATTGTGATACTTATCTTCTCACCTCCTATTTTGTTGGAGACATTTGATTTTTGTACCCAAACTATAGTTCTGTACGCTTGTTATTGTGGTCACTCTGAAAGTTTGAACTGATTGTGATCTTAGGTCTTCATTTAATAATAATAAAAAAAAAAGAAACTATTGGAAATCTTTGCTTCTTTAGATTTGGAAGGATGCTAGTTTATGTGACAGTGTCTGATGTTGATTGATGAATCTGACTTTTTGAGTCAAGTGGGATTTCGTTGTGTAGTGAATACATTGTTGGGTTTTCCCAATTCCCAGAGCAACTTTTGTTTTATATTCGTCTTTGTATCAGAATGAGACATGAGCACGTTTTGCTAAGGGGTTAGATCTAGTACTAGCAGAAGAGACTAATTTTTTACAACATGATGAATTAAGATTTAGATTTTTGCTGGGAGAGATGTCTACATTTAATGCCAATCATATCTCCACAAGCAGAGGATGTTTATTGGTGATAGGGAAAAAAAAAAAAATGGGACGTGAACTTTTTTTGTCATAATTTCAGACCATTGGACTTTTTGTTTTTGAAGAGGTCCTTGACTTAAACCGTACAGAAAAAAAGAAGATTTCCAAATTCAAGGTATCCTGAAGCGCTTGAGCGAGCTAGTTTATGTATTTATTAGCTTTTCAAATCATATGTTGATATATGTATATATATGTATATATATTTTCAAACGAGCGTGCCTCGTCTCATTAAAGACAAGATATGAAGCCCTTTTCATGATTGTACTGCGCGTCGAATTTAGAGGGGTGTCCAAGGCTTGATTGGCCTTCCCCCCCCCCCCCCCCCAATTCGACCAAATAAATCGGGCAACGTTTTATTGAAAGAAGTAAAATAATAGTTAAACCTTTTTTTAATCATAATTCTATTTTTTATTTGTTATAATAAAGTAAAATAATGTCTCACTTGGATTTTGCATTTCTCGTTCATTCTTTTTATTCACTTGATAATGGCGTTTCTAAGATTAATAGTTGCAAGTTGCAACTTTTTTTTTTTTTTTAATTGTGCAGGCTTCATTGGAAACAATTTTATTTGAATTATTCTCGAGAAATGTGATAACTTCTCTTAACAAAAATTTAAACATCAGTTCATCACATTATGAATGACTATTCTCTTTTACTAGACTAAACCCGTTGATTGTAAATATTTTAAATTTAAATTAGATTTTCTCACAAAATTTGAGATTATATGTTGCTTTGACTTTAATAGCTACAAGCTTCGGCGCCTTAGCCAACATCATTTTCCTTCTTACAAGATTAATTTTTCAGTTTTTTGTTTGTTTGTTCTTTTCTGTGGCTTCAACATACAAGTCAACCTAAGATTTTAATATATCTGTATTCTTGTTCGGGGGATACACAACATAGAATATGAAATGAGAAATGATTTTTAAAATAAGGAGACCGTAATATTCTTTTAAAACGAAAGTAGACATGGTAACATAAAAGAGAAGGTTCAGAGATATACAATATATATACTCTTGTGTTGAATATTGTCGCACGTCCAAATTTGTTTTACGCGTTTGATTTGCTTCCGCCATCTTAGGGTTCAAAGTTCAAACCAAATTTAGATAAACCAAAACACAATCTTCCAACTCATTTTAGTATAATTATTTCAGTCAGTCTATGACTTCACGTCAAATTAGTGAAGGGTTCGCCTGCTATTTCATTCTATCTGAGTACTTCTTCCGATCTTATTATAGGTCACCATTTCTAAAGGTTTGTTTTTTTAGTCTTATTTATTATAAGTTACTTAGAAAATTAAAATCTATGAGTAATCAATATTTTTTCAATGATGTTGTCAGTATTTTTTTGGTCAAAGAATAATGTTAGTATTAATTAGCATATTCATGGTGGAGTAGATATAATGGAGAGGGATAACATTGGATTTGTATTTCTTATAGTTAATTAATTAAAATTAAAAGTAATACTAAAAAGATGTGATAATTTTAAGAACCCCAACTAAATTTAACCAACTTTCTTAGTCTGGATGAATTAATTAAAACTTAAAAGTGATGCACTTCCTTCAGCCCATAATATAAAACAACTTTAATCAATTCATGCTTGTTAAGAAACGATAGTTATATGCTTAAAATTAGATTGTTAAAAAAATGGTATAAATTTATCAATTTTGCCCTTCCTTGTAATTAATAACTATAATAAATTATTATAAAGAAATTCAAACTATAATAAATAAGGGTAAAATTAGAAAAAGACATTAATTACTCTAACTTGGCCTTATATTAAGGGCAATTTTTTTTTTAGAGTTTACCTTATATTAAAAATAGGAAGAAGTATATAAGATTGACCTTGACTCTCCTTGCAGTGTATTTTCTGTGAGTATATAAGAGTAGTAGTTAGGAGCTTATAACGTTTCTTTCTCTAATACTCTTTACAATGTGTCTTTTTTCTTTGGATCATTAGTTTTAACATAAAATAAGTGATATTTGGATATCTTAAAGTACTGAAACAGTAAAATTTTGTATTTTTTTCATGCTTTTTAAAAGAAAAATATTAAAATTACACAGTTTTATCTTTGAAAAATTGTTAAAGAAAAAAAAAAACAAAAATCAACCGTTTAATCTGGGGGGCTTTGCAATATTAAAATTTTTCTTATTTTCTGTAGAAGATAATCATTAAAAAAGAGAAAAATTATAAGTGGAGATACCCCTCAACCATGCATGCAAACCAGAACCATCCCACAGTTACACATTATATATAGCTTCTCTCTCCATTGTCCCAAATCTCACTTAGAACATATAAGCAAATTAACCAAAATCAGTCCAGCTTCACAATCGTTCTTCACGTAAAAACCCTTACAATGACCAGTGATGAATACAGCAAAAGAGTCCGATGGCTTCGACTCGCCGTTCTCAAAACCTACGAGGGCTTGCTCTGGGCGGCAACGCTCATGATGGGAGTTGAATTCGCTCAGGACGACGAAGACAACGTTAGGATGATGATCATCATCGTCTTTATTGTAGGCATAGCCTTCGGAGCTTCTGCTATAGCCATCTGGGAGTTTCTGTCTTTGTCGTCGCAGTTTGAGAACTGCGATACCGCAAAGTCACTAGGCCCGTCTCAAGTGGCCATGGTTGCCGGAGTTTCATTCGCCTTTGGCGCTGTGTTGTTGCTCGGAGCGGCATTTATAGGAGAGTACACTGTGAGGATGGTGGTGGTGGTGGGTGTGACAAGCATTGTGTCGACGGCGTTCGGAATTTTACTTGGGGTTTTGGGGAAGGCACCAGTGGTGATGTCAGCTTTGAGGTTTTTGATCGGAGGGTGGCTTCTGATGGCGATCGCTTTTGGCTTTACAAAGTTTGTAGATGCAGTAGTCAAAGAAGAAGCTTGTGGATCTTTACGTGATTAATTGATGAGGTTTTGCTCATATCTAGTTTTGGAATTTCAGCTTTTGATTTCACAGCCAATTGGATCAATGTGTTTGTTTTCTGTTGTGATTTATGAATGTGATTGTCATTAGGGTTTTGTTATGTTTTGGGTTTTTTAAACTGGATTTTTTTATATGAAAAAAATGGTTTAGGTGAGTTAAATCTCGAGAGTTAAATAGGATTAAAATATGTTTTTAAATTTAAAAAGTATTTACAATAATATTTACAGATTGTCAATCAATAAGGTTCTCATATTAATAGCAAGATTGATTTCATGACCTTAAAAGATTATGAGCTAAAACCTTATAACCAGACCAACATTTATTGATAGATTGTAGACATTATTTGGACTAGAGCCTTTAACGTGTCTTTTCCTTAGTGTGGGAAACTTTGATCTGTGTAGTTGGTTGGTTTTTTGTGTAGAATTATCAATTTGAAGCTTCTTGTATGCAAAATTATCAAAATGATAAAATTGATTCTTTCTTTTTTATTATTATTGGCTTTAATATGGAGATAGAGATCTTTCGTTTCAAAAGTATACTTAATCCATTTAAATCGATATTTCTTGCAGCACTTTGATGTGCGGTATAAATAATACACTAAGTTTAATTAGAAATTTCTTTCAACATTTAAATTATATTGAAATGTGTAAATAAAGTTTTATGGAGCCCAATGATAATTAAGTGCGGATAACCATTTTTTTTTAATACAAGTTCATAGAAACCGTGAAAAAAAAAAAATCAATCCATGTTAGAGCATATAAAACTTCTATATCCTACAGGCGATTATGCAAAAATCATGTGGAGAACAACTTATAACATAAGAGTCCAAGTGGGAAGAAGGTGTGGAACAATAATAATATCTCATTAACATGGAGTCCAGGAGGAAACTATAAAACTATTTATTAATGCGCGCGCGCAAACTTAAGTTTATTTTATTATATATTATAAAATTGATTAACGTGATAATTTTAAATTTTTCAACGGTAAACATTTATTTAGAATTTATTATTTAATAAAATTTTACAATTTTAACACATAATATGGCTATAACAATTTGAAACGAAATATTTTTAATAGTGTTAAAATTGAATTAAATTGCAGCATGTAAGAAGAAGAGAAAATGATAATAAAATCCTATAGAAATATATAAATAACAATTAGGTTTCTTAAAATGTCTAATTTCTTTGAAGTTGGGTACCTTCATGATTAAATTATCCCTTGTTTAAAATAAAAATAATGGTCTAGCTTCATTTTTTCAATCACAACTTTTATTTAAGAAATTATAACTTTTTTTTTCCATGAATTACAAAACTTAAACAAAAAATCACAACTTGCTACGTGACAAATTTTTTTTTAATGATTGATAAATAAGTTATAAAAATAATCAATTTTAATCATAACTTTTATTTAAGTAGTTATAACTTTGATTTGTGAATAGTAAAAATTAAACAAGAAATCTCAACTTTTCACATAAAATTTCTTTTATTATCATAGCTTTTATTATTTAAATCATAAAAATTGAATAAGAACCCACATAAACCTATTATTTTTTTAATTCTTAGAGAAATTTAGTTATTGAACCTAAAATTATTAATGTTAGAAAGGTACATAGGAACTTTAGAGGACTTATGGCATTTCAAGAGATCTGATTATTATTTATATATTTTGGTAGGATTTTATTTTTATTTTTTAAAAAAATAAGAGAAGTTCCCGGTAATTTTAATAAAACTCACGAAATCCCATGCATTCAATATCTTTCCTTCACAAGTGTATAAGACTAGCTGTTATGCTAGTATTTACCGAATTTCCCATAATTTATTTTGACAAGAATTTCCAACAATTAAATTCATGGAATTCCATACTTTTTCTCGACCAAGCACTAAGAGAGGTGAAATTTTGAAATATTAAAATATATTCAAATTAATTAATTATTTTAGATTTGACGTGTAGAGGGAATATGTTCTCTTGCGTTGGTGTATATATTGCGAGTGATAAAAATAAATGTTGAATGAGTCGTCTCATTTATTTTTAGTTGTCATTTTTTTTTATAATATACTCCTTCCAATTTTATATATAAATTATTTTTAACTAACTCACCCAATCAAGAAGAAATAGTTAAATAAATTGATGTTATCTAAAAATAAAAAAGTCTCAATTTAATATTATTAAATATATTATTGTTAAAAACATTTTCTCTTTCTCTCTATACAATCTTTTATCTTATTCAAAAAATTATGAAATGGTAACATTAGAAGAAAATATTTAATAATTTATTTTTAATTATATTAAGTGACTGATAAAAAAATATCATTTTCTTTTAAAATGTCACTTATATATAAAACTACTGAAGTCCATGTATTAGTTGCGAACGTAGTCAAAGAGCCAACATTACATGTTATACGTATTACTTGGGTTTTAGATATATATCTCCATGAAGCAAACTTTCTAAACATTTAATTAATGGCTCTATGTCTTTTTCATGGTAGGACGTAGGGGTAATTTTTTTCTTTGATTAACCCGCGAAGGTAATGAGCGTATAGGTCCTTTTATTTTTAAATTACTATTTTTTAAATTAATTTATACGTTGAAAATGGAGGCACGAAGACACATATATTATTTTTAATTAGAGTCAGGAAAATGGATTGAACCCAAAAGCTAGCACGTTCAACCCGCATGGTTGAAAAAATTGGCCTATTTTTTAAAATGGGTTGCACTAGCTCAACCTGCAAAACTGACAGGCTAAATGGGCTGGCCCGCAAGCTAGCATATTTTTTTAAAAATAATTTTTTATTTTTTAATCACATTATATCTTTTTGTACATCTACAATAATGATAATTTTTTCAAATATATAATTTATGAATTTCAAATATATTCTTTACATTTGAAATATAATGTAAATCTTTTTTATAATTTGCAAATAAAATTTTTGTTATAGTTTATAAACCAATAATTTATTAGTTTTTATAAAAATATTTTGAATATATAGTATTTATTAATCTCATAAGATCTATTGATTGAAATCATAATTATAAATTCATTGAGAAAAATAATATAAGTTTATATTTAAATTTTCTTTCTCATTGAGAAAGATAACACAACTGGGCAAGAAGATGATTAATAATAAAAATCTGGCAAAATGAATTTGCTTAGTTGAATTCTATATTTATTTTATTTATTTAAAAGTTCTTTAATTGCTAATTTGCTTTAAAATGTGATATATATATATATATATTATATAAAATTTAAATTATTAAAAAATTTGATAAATTTTTGCAAGCCAGCCCGCGAGTTGGCTAGCTGGCTAGAAAATGAGTTGGGTTGAGTTTTTTTAGCTTGTTTTATCTAATAGACTGGTCCAACCCAATCTATAAAAATGCCAACTTGTGTGGGTTGGCTCTAACTCGTTTGCCTAGTGCTACTCTTGATGATGGTAAGTTTGGAGACAATTTTTGTATAATTTTAAGTTTGAATTTCTTTGTCAAACCCTAGAAACATGCCTTGCACTCAACACTTATAAAATAGCGTATTTTGTCAGAAAAAATATTTTTTTAATTATTTTTAATTAAAATGTTTTAACATTGAAAAAAAATTGTACTTGAGTCAATGGATACTATTTTAATGTACAGTCATCAACACTTCTCCTACATTCTGTAAAAATTACAAAAAAAAAAAACTATCACTTACGCGACTGTGATTTTAAAAAATAATATTTTTTACTTACATTTTTTAAATTATAAAATATATAGTCAAGACTTTTTCCAAGTCTTTTGAGAACATGATAGTCACGTCCAACATAAAAGAAATAAAAGTTCAAAACATACTTGCTAGGAAGTTTCGCGAGTGGATGGAAACTTGGTAATTGCTTTGTAATAGAATATTATAAGGCTGGATAAGAAAGTACTGTAGATAAGAGAGTTAGAGTATATAAGTAAATTGAACAGGCAAAAGTAAATCTTTGGCGATTTAACTTTACAAGAAGTTTTATTTTTGGTTCCTTAATTTTATAATATGTCTTTTCAATCCTCTAATTATCCTAATATCATTAGTTTCATTCCCAAATAATACTGACATCAAACTTGTAAATATTGATAAAACATTCTCAAATATTAACATATTAAATTTAATTTTTAAAAATAATGTCTGGCAAAAAAACTAACTATCATATGAGACTGACAGCATTAAAATTAGAGGATTAAAAATATTATAAAAAATTAAGAGTTAAAATTTAAATATTATATAAATATATCAAAGAATATGATATAGTTTTTATTTACATAAATTAAGAATAATTGACGATATTGATGGCTTATGTAAAGGGGTCTCGACGTAAATTTTATAAATACATTAAAACATGTGGGTTTTCAATATCTTTCTTCACAAGTATAAGACTAGCTAATTATTTTTACTTAATTCATGAAATTTTGAAAGATTAATTAATTCATATATTGAAAGTAACAGTTGAAGGGTGTAGGGAAAATGTTCTTATCTTGTGCGGGATAAAAATAAATATTTGTTAATGATGAACAAGTCGTTTCTTTTTCATTTTTTTTAACTCGCCATTTTCGTCATATGTATTATTTCTTTGTTTTGTTCGAACACCAAAGCATTGCATTGTCAAGATTTCTGCATCTACATGGAGCAGTTATGCCCAAGATTTCTCTGTGCATGAATTTGAAGCAGACTTCATTCCTTTCTTTTCATTGTGTTTTTCAATACAAGGCCATGTTAAGATGGGTGCATGATCGATCTATCCTCTCGAGTTCCCGATCACATGGTGGAGGCGGGGCCCATTTTAAAAAATGACCTGCCCAAGAGAGGAGAAAAGTCTCAGTGATGCAATATGAGATAATAATTAATTAAGATAATTATAATTTATCTAAAATATTAAGATTGTCCATTAAGAATTTTTAAATAAGGATATTTATCCATTAAAATTAGAATTTATTTTTATTTTATTATTATCTTAGACATCAGTATT